ACCTAAAACAAAACTCCTGAATATCTCGAAAATTAAACGGTAGGAAAAATGTTTCAAATAAAGATTGTATGATTCGAAGTGGAATAAATAATAATAAAATCATTTTTTTTAAATTGATTTTTCAAGGTCACATGGAAGTCATTTTCACTTTTTTAAACGGTATGATTTTTTTGACACAACATGGTTCCTCTGATTATTCAGCATATAAAAGTAATAAGATAGTGATATCAAAAAACCAATAGTCTTCGAGATATTTTATACTTTATTGAGGCACATATATTGATATAAAATGTTACATAACTCGTAAACTATTAATTTTTTATAACCGTACCTTAATACTTCTATAAATAGAATAATGAGATGAATAAATTGGTGCAAAAAAAATACACAGTTGCTTTACAAAAATTCGTATGCATACAATTTTTTAAATAAGCAACTATATGTATTTTTTCTGTATATAGAGATTAAGAACAATCATTATTATAATAATACGTAATGGACAATAATAATGAAAATGATATAAAGAAAATTGCAAATTATGTGTACAAAAATAACTCGGTTGACAGTGTTAGAAAATAACATCGCAAAAGCGAATAAGAAATCTCATCTCTTTAGCCTTCAGAAAGTCTTTAGTTCTTAAAAAAAAAAACAATCATATTTTTCGCTTATTGTTAGTGCGCTTACGTAAACATGGTAAATCACAAACTTCCATAAACGCAAAAGAAACATTGAATTGCATACAAAAATTACAGCATGTATACAAGAGTAGAATTACTGTACAAAAGTTTATTTGAAAAAAAAAAAGTAAAACAATATCGTTTGCAACACAATCTTTGGCGCACGTCATTAAAATTCATTCTTATAATTTACTTACTCAATCACTTTCAATAATAATATTTGTAGCAAAAATTAGTTATTTTTACTTTTTGTATATAGCATCTTTGTTTTATGACTCATTGCATTCGAAATAAAATTTTCTCGATCAAATTAATCGAGAAATTAGTTTTTTAAATTCTTAAAACGTCGTGTAACTTCGAGAACGTTTATGAATTGATTATAAGCAGACGTGTATAAGCTATAACGACATTCGAGAATAAATTTGCAATTTTACGATCACATTATTTATATGTTCCTGCTCTTTTCTGATGAATGACTGCGATTTCTCAAAATCTTAAATAAAAAAGTGATATCTCTTGCGATATTATTCTACTACGATGAATCATCTTACTGAATTAAAACTGGTATGTTTCTATTAAATTTAACTATATCTATTGATGCGAATATCGGCTAAAATTAATTTTTGTTTAGATCCGTTTTTTATTTCTGTATTAGACAACACTGAATTCATTTTCTCGTTTTCGTTAAATATTCAGGGCTGGCATAAAAGTATTTGAATACTTTTATTTGAAACACATTATTTGCAATACAAGTGTATTTTGTATTTTGTATTTCAGTGAAGCACATGAAAGTATTACATATTTTGTATTTAAAAATAAAAGATTAAAAGTTTTTTGTATCTTGTAATTCACATAAAATAAGATTGTTTGCTTATCTTAACATTTAAAATACAAAACACTTTTGCAATTTTTCGTTATTAATACTGAAATACAAAATACGAAATATTTTTACTTTCAAAATACAAAATACAATTGTCTTATAAATACTATTTTTTGAATAAATTAAAATATTCAAATATATGTCCAACAATGTAAATAACAAACACATATCTCACTTTGAATTCCATAAGTGTGATACCAGTTCAGCTACAGAAAACAGACCTTTTATACGTCCACAAACTCGAATCTAAAATTTTACTACTTCTAAAACTCCACTACGTACGTGACAATACGTTATAATCTTCCAAGTGGAAAAAAAAACACAGTGCACGCATTGAGAAAGAACTGCAAACGCGTAGTGTGATCGCGAAATTGCTAGTTTGTTCTCGAATGTGCTTATATTTATGCGAGTTAACTTCTAATCGGTCTATGAACGTGCTCGAATGTTCTCGAAGCTACGCGATATCACATCTGCCGCGTCGTATGCGCATGCCTGTAATTACTTGCGGAGCTATAAAACACGCGACGCGAGTCGGCTGTCGATTGAAAGCAATCGCAAGTTTAATCAGTGCGAATCGTTGCTAGAAAACGAATCGGCTCGCTAACAATTAACTCTCAACCGAGTTTCATCAGCCAATTTCATTCGAGATCTTCCGTCTCTTTATCAAGTCTTTCTTGAGAAAACATGTCTCTGGTGCCGTTGCTATTCTCCGACTGGTGGGAAGACCTGGAATATCCACATCGGATTTTCGACCAAAACTTCGGCCTCGGAGTTTCTCCGGAACAACTGACACATCCCAACATTCTCGAACGCTTCGCGCTGCAACAACCATCCCGGCGTCTACGTCCAGGACCTATGATGTTTTATAATCGACCATGGGGCGAACTGTTACGCAGCAGAGAAGAAGGTGGTATATCGACCGTTAAGGCAGATAAGGACAAGTTCCAGGTGACGTTGGACGTGCAACAGTTCAAGCCGGAAGAGATCAATGTCAAAGTCGTGGACAAATTCGTGGTAGTCGAGGCCAAACACGAGGAGAAGCAGGACGAGCACGGCTGGATCTCACGGCAGTTTGTGCGCAAATACATGATACCTGAACAGTGCGATATCGATCAGGTGTCGTCGAGCTTGTCATCAGATGGCATGCTGAGCATCACCGTACCTAGGAAGGATAAACCGAAGACGCAAAACGAACGGACGATCAAGATCCAGCATACCGGCAAACCGGCGATCCAGGAGAAGGCTCAGGAAAAGGCTCAGGAGAAGGCTCAGGAAAAAACTCAGGAGAAGAAGAAGTAAAAATAGAGTAGAAGATAAAAATTAATCGTATATCGTGTTGTTTCTGTGAAACCTTGTTTTTCTGTTTTATATTCATATAATAATATAATATATATAAAAATATGATTATTTTTTCTCTGTGAAATCGGATATAGTATCGAAAATTTATGCATGTGTTTTTCATTTTTATTTTTATGTAAATAATCGAATAAATCAATTCGGTGGATGTTAATCGAGTATTTTCCATCTTCCTTTTTCCTATCCTGTGTATTTTTTCTTAGTAAGAATCTTATAATCTCAATATGTGTTAGTTTAGAAAGAATTATTGGACTGTGAGTTATGTATTGTGAACTATAGCAAGCGAGAGAAATGTTAGATAAATAGTAATTCTTGAATGCTACAAATTTGTCAAAAGTATTTGAAGTTTGGACAGCATCTATATATATTTCATTATATTTATCATTGAAAACAATTTACAATAATTAAGTCAATTATATTATATATGTGTACTGTCTACGTATTACTTATTTTCTCTTTCAATCTATAGATTTTTCGTTTAGGATTATCTCTGCATTAAAAATAAAAATATGAGTGATAAATCTAATAATAGTTTCGCTGATTTAAACAATAACGAAGCATAGGTATAGTTATTGATTCAAATAATAGTTATTGATTCAAAGGAAAGATTATAGAGACATCTCTTGGAGAAATCCATGGATTATTAAAACAGATTCGTATAATATTGCTACCTACATCTGATGATTTAAAATCCATTATAATATGTATATGCATTTTTTGTCACTGTCGATAAAAATGTATCTAAATTATCGACAGCAATATACATATACATATAATATTCCAGAGAGCACAATCTAAAAGACGACTAAATTGTTATAAAGATATCTTTTAGTGAAAGAATATAGTCGACGAAAAGATGACTAAAAGATAGATGTCGCACTGCTAGTCATCTTATAGTCTTATCCATATGATATCTAAAGGATGATTTCTTTGGATACCTTTTAGAGTGGTATTCATTGTCAGATCTTATATTCAAAACCGTCTTAGGTGTAGTCTTAAGAAGTCATGAACCAATCATGGAGCCATATTAGCGTCTTAAGACATTATTTAAGACAGTGGCCTAGTTTCCACTGAGGAAGTGAGCGAATAAATAGCGGGACCAATCAGAGAAAAGAACGTTATCCGCTTCATTCTACCTTAATTCTTTCTGAATAAACCTTTTATGAACCAAATATCGAATTATCATCTTCAGCCTTCAAAAGTGGATAATGTACCCTAAGGGGAATGGACGTTGCTATGTATTTTACATCCACTTTGTCAGAGGGCAGTAGTGCGCGGCAGCATTTAATTTTGCAGTTACAGGTTTTGGACCGTCATGTCCTTTTGTCAGATTTTTCTCTGATATAACATATCGTTAAATAAAATCATTAATTTAAAGAGATCCAAGAAACATATTATAGAAATATTTAAAATAGATTTCGATCGGAATTATTCCGTTTTCTCTAGAAAATACAATAGAAATTTAGTCAAATTCTATTGGATGCATTCAATATGCACTGGTGCACATTAAAGCCGCTTTATATAAATTGATGTAAAAACTGTGTTGTGTTTAACGTAAATATAAAAATGGATTAAACCATGAAAGCCTTAATTTTATTATACTGTTAAATAAAATCTGTATTTTATAATTCGAAATATTTGCATTTTACTTTTACACAGATTAAATCAGTAATTAATAAACAACGGCTTTAGCCCTTAGTGAATCAGTCGAGGTGTGACATACCCCAGCAAAATGAATTTCTATAACTTCTTAAAAAGTACCACGCGCATGTTGTCGATTTCATGCAACTGGAGAGAATGTGTTGTTACCAATCACACTAAATTACAATAGATATATTTATGATGTGGTGGTGTATGTAAAATATAAAAAAAAACATGGGATATAAGATATACCCACATTTAACCGAATTCATTATAGAAAATAATTGAACAATTTTGATTAGAATTCGTTCCAAATGGTTCCATAATACATGCCTTGCAGTATTTTGTATTTTGCGTGTCGACAAAATTTATACAAGTTGTGGGATAAATAGCTATTTCTTTGTAATAAATAATAAATATATTAAAAATAGAAATCATATTTAAGTTTACATATAATACATACGTATATTTTATATTCTTTATTTTACTTCATAATGACAATACATTAATTTAACAAATGTTAGGATTTTTAAAAAATGACGCACAAACGGATTATATTATTTTATACATTCGTTAAATAGAAAATAAGTCTTTACTATAAAGAAGCAACTTTGACATTTCGTATTCTCAATTATCTGAAGGCGTGACAAAAGAGCGAGTGTTATTATTTTCGCATACATATCTAAATTATATTTATTTTCCGAGAACGTATCAATCAATTTTTTTTAATAATAAAATTTCAATTAATTAATAATAATTAGAAATTGTCTTAATTATTTTGAAATCTTTGTCTGAGTCAAAAATAATTTAATTACTATACGATAGTTTGGAATGATAATCCGAACAAATTACATACGCATTCGTGTGATGATCGGAGTGTATTTGTCATGAATAACTAGCGATCAAATCTGTAAATAATCTCGAAATGCTGGTAAGCTGCATAAGATACGTAAGAAGAATCCCTATGTCGGCAGTTGCACGACAATCGGCAATCGGTCGAAAATAATAGGCGGAGGATAATAGTGGGTGAGCACTTCTAGTCTCGAATCGAGCGTGCAAGACGTAGAGAGACAGTCTGAGATCAGAGAAGGGGATGGATCGTGCTTATCGTGCATCGTCGCCAAACCCTGCAAAACCTCTCTCTTCCTCAAACTACCTCGACTCTCCGATCTCAACCCCCTTTTCCTCTCTTTCGCTCTTTCCTGCTTACTCTTTCGACTTCCCTACATCTCCAGCTGACGTTTGCGGAAAAAAAAAGGAAAAAGAAGCATGAAGAGACTCGTGTGTGTTACGAAACGTGTGCCATGTTCGATCCAGTTAAATTTTACTGATCTAATACGATAGGAGATGCGATTCGAGAAAAATTATTTAAAAAAATTATTAAGGGAAAGAGGCATTTAATAATATTTCTCGCTTTAGCGCATATGTCTTTCTTTTTTTCTTTCCAATTTATAAAAGGATTGGCAAGACGCATTTTTTCCGTTTCAATTTTGGCCTTCTGAAAGAAGATAGAGGATCTCTTTCGAAGTGATTACCTCTGAATATTACTTTAACAATGATGCTTCAAGTGATGTCACAAAACCTTTGACGTAATCACTCTCTTAACTGATCGATACCAGAGAGCTTCTGCCAGCACTTGTGATCGATTTTGTCATCGTTCCACCGTGCCACAGATAGCAGTTACATGTGACAATAATCTTTATATCTTTTTTTACATAATCTGCATTTCCAACTAATTAATAAAAATCACGGTATTTAACTTTGCTTTTCCATATTGTAAGCTATGATAAAATCATCTTGGCAGACACAAGTATTCTATTTTTATTTAAATATCAAATTTTTTAAAATCATTTTTTTTTACATAAGTAAGTACTCATATACAGAGTGTCCGGAAAACTGCAATTTATAATTTTCTTTTGTAATAATATTTATCTAAATTGTTCAGTGAAAGTAAGAGAGAGAAAAAAAAATAAAAAAATGATATCTAGGCTCTTCTATTTTTCCAAGAACAATTCAGTCTGACATTCATTGATATTCTACATACAAAATGCACAAAGAGAAAATTGTTATTCAGATCGATATTTTCAAAGAATCTTCTTATATATCCTCTTCTCTCGTGTTTCTTCAAATATCTGACTGTTTTCCTTCGCAGAAGAAATACGACGCATAAGTACTTGCAGTAAATATTCTTAAAGCCATGTGAAGTATCGATAGAATGCAATAGTCGCACGAAGGTAAGAAAATGAGCCAAGAAACGAATTGTACAAGGAGCACGTCGAGCAGTAGTGAGGCACAATCCAGTATTCCCAGTGCTGTTCTATGTTCAATGCTGATTGTTACGATTCGGATAAAACACATTGAGAATTTTCTATGAGGATACTAATTACACGATAGTTTGCTGAGGTATCTGCACATTTTTTAATTTAATTATTTGAAAATAATTGTCAATACGTATATAAATTCTTTAAAAAACAATGCAACGAAACCAAGTATTGACAAAGAGACAATGTATGGAATTTTGAATACATTAAATTAATGAATAGAGTTTAAATATAAATTATAAAATAATTATTAAAACATATTTATATACGTTAAAAATCTTGAAAAAAAAATCTTAAATTTAAAATAAAATTAAGAGTTTTGAATCTCCATAATTTCAAGACGATCTGAATATATTCAGATGCAAAGATGCTAATTGAAGAACTTTGTTCACGAGAATACTTAATTAAGAGCATTATACACATAAAAATATGAAATCATGAGGTCGTGAGAATCATTTAATCACGTCGAGATACGAATAAAAATTACTCTTCAATCGCAGTACAATTAATTACAGTGCTGTTAATAAGATCACGAGTAACTTGATTTCTTTCAGACCACGCGAAGCGAAAAAGGATAAGCTCCAAGATAGGAATGACTTAATTAATATGAATATCAAAATTAATGAGGTTTATAAAAAAAAATGAAAAATTAATCAAATACAATGTTTCTTTTAATTATTAAGTATCTCCTCTAATTAAAATTTTCTCATTATGTTTTAAATACTCGTATATATCTTCTTTAGCAAGTTTTGTCCCCTTTTGCTTCCTGCCTGTTCTATATGCTCTTCTACTATATTTTGCACTTGTACATATATATGTACACACACAGTCACAGAATTGCATCTTCACACACATACACATCGACTTGTGTGTATACTCTTTCGATAAGTGGCCACTCGACACCGTACGAACGAGACGAACACGTACCCCTCTATTCGTGGCACAATTTTCGGAGATCGATATATCGAGCGTACTGGTGACTTCAAATTGCATGGTAGTTAGCGCTTGTCAGGGATTTGCGGCAAAGGAGTCTAATGAGAAGAAACGGAGAAAGAGATGTGGAATGCATTGTCTTTCCCTAAATATCATCGCTTTAATATTTTTTTCAAATTTATTAACATATTCAATATTAAGTTTTTTCTGATACAGTTTATTACATAATGCAACTTATAAACTATTTTCAAAGTATGAT